CTTTACGAATGTGAACGTGTGTGTCACATCACAGGAAGGAGCGTAAGCCGGGGCGGCGTTACGAATGTGAACGTGTGTGGCACATCACAGGAAGGAGCGTAAGCCGGGGCGGCGTTACGAATGTGAACGTGTGTGGCACATCACAGGAAGGCGTGTAAGCTGTGGCGGCGTTACAGGCATCAGGCTGTTTCCAGTGACATCTCTGCAAAGGCAGCGCAGCCCCATGCCAGAGCGAGCGATTGGGGCCAAACCTGAGTGCAGTTTCTTGAGCTCTTCTGATCTTTGGCTCTTCGGAAAGGGAGAGGGAGGAAGGGCTTTTGGATGGAGAGCATGAAGAGAAAATGGGCACGTTCTTAGACAAGCTGAGTGCGAAGAATAAAATGACAGGGTGAACTAATCTCTCAGCCACCAGAAAACTGTCAAGAAGTTTCTGTGGAACACAAAACAGTTTGCGTACATTCAGCACAATTTACTGTCCATAATCAGTTAGTGCAGCTAGCATTTTAGCTCAGTTAAGGACACATATTAATCCATTCAGTTTCTAACAGCCTTTCCCCGGCAGGGATACCTGCAGCCAGGCCACCACAGGGCTGGGTACACCCAGGGTGGGACACAAGTACAGCACTGGGCATGGGGTTACCTGGGCTGAAACACAGGGGCCTTTGCTAGAAAGGGTCCTAACCTTACGTTGTACAACCATATTTTAAACCAAGCGTCCTGCATTTTATTGGATCGTCCCGTATTTTCGTGGCCAAACCAACAATTTAATCTGCATGACTGATCCCCCAGAACAAATGTTATCGTCCACCACCCTCTAGCTATATCGTGGAAGGAGGTAGTAGGGGATCCTGAGCATGATAATGTGCCCCTAGGTGCTGGTCTGTCACAGGGCACATTAGGGGCAATTCAGTGATGCTAATTAACCAAACTATGTGTTCTGAGTGCTGGCAGGAGAACATGCAAACCAGACAGTACCCACACAGTAGCAGGTGCTGCGAGCGAGACAGCGAGCCACCTGGCCAGCCTTCAGATTCTGTTTGATAACATCTTATCATTTCAAATACAAATGTGACTGGTGTTTGGCTTCAGGTTAGGACACTATCTCCCAATCCAGTCCTCGCAGACCCAAAAACAGTTCACGTTTTCGCTGTCTCCCAGCTCCGTACCAAAAATGTGGTCTGGCAGGGAGCAAAAACATGGACCACCAGTGGAACTTCGAGAAGCATATTGTGAAACACTGGATTAGGTTGTTTTTTTTGTGATGCAAATTAACATTAATTAACATTGTTTAATACCCCCCTCTGCTTATCCAAATTCTGATGTAACAGATGTGTAATAATGTAGCCTTTAAAGATCACTTACTAAATAATGGGCTTCTTTATATTTTTGGTGAAACATAATTCCACCTGGTTGTACACACAGCTGCATTTTCACCAGGGGGGTAGATGAAGCCATGGCATTAGTAAGTAATTTTTGCCGTGACATGCGGCAGTGACCCAGCACCGCCGGAGCCACGTCTCCCGCAGAGGGAGGCCATCTTGACGCTCGATCCCAGATCCTTGGCACTGGCTATGACCCCGGAAGAGCTCGTGTCCTCTGTGATGAATGAACAAACCTGGAGAGACTCCTGTGGCCCTGGGGGGGCACTGACGCTGCAGGGTAACCATGGGGCCTCAGCCGGGCAGAGGGATTTCCGGGGGGCGGCCACCGTGATCGCCCGCTGGGTGTTCTGTAAGGATCACTCACATCAGCACTAGCTGTCCAACCATGTCCCTGACGTGCCGATATCAGCCAACCCATGCCTCAGTATTCTTGGTTTATTTAAAAACGTAATGTCAAATGATAGCTTCACTGTACGTTTACCTTCACTGTAGGCCTAAAAGCATGCCTGGGATGAAAAGCAAACTTGACCTCTTGTGGTTTCTGTCTTGTTCTCCTCATTCTTCACGCCCTCATGATCACCTTCTTTCTGAAGACAACGAAATCCCCCACCCCCCCCCCCGCCGCCGCCTCCAGGCCAGACGCTGCCCCTCAGCCGCGGGACTGTTTCCTCAGGGGAGCGCGGAGTTACTAAATCGGTAATGTGACGCTCTCACCTGGCCCTTCAGCGGGCACCACATGCTCGGGGGAGCCCGAAGAATGGCTGGCGAGCTCAGGCTGGCCATCTGCTTCACCGCCGTGACGCACGGCTCACTTTCCCACTTACGGAGGGAGCTGGGGCCCGGGGCCCGGAGCGCCAGCTGTCGGGTGTTCTGCCGACGACCAGGTAAGGTGTCCCCAATGACCGAGAAGGCTTTCTGCTCCTATGAGTGACACGTTACAGTATGGTAATCACAGGTCATGGGAGCCTCGAGCCCAGCTCAAACTTTAAACCCACCTCTATATGGCATTAACTTCATTATTTATATCAAGGCCAGACCTACCTCTTCAGGGGCCCTAGGCAAAACTTTACCCAGGAAGCCCCCCTACCAAGAAAACTGACAATCATGTCACTTCCTCTGCAATGCAGGTAATTTGGGGGCCCTGGGCAGCCGTGTATCCTGCTTTTAGCCATCGTCCGCCCCGATTCAGATCAGTGTTCTTTAACTGTTATTCACAATATATTTAACTAATAATTCCATTGGAAGCAAAAACACAAATGATTCAGAAAACAGGTTTCCCCTCCATCCGATCTAATATTTCCCCGTTTGGTGAATCTCGTTTACTATTACAAACTCAGTTACACTGCTAGTCTTTGGTCTGGTTGTGTAAAATAAAACCACAAAAGGAAGATATCACAATTTTTCAGTCATTACACTTGATTTATTCCAGTGCTACTAGATATGCATAATGTGGCAGTGTGTATAAAACAGTGATTACACATTTTAAGTATTTATTCATTTTTCTTGTTTAAAAAATTATAAATTATCTGATGTCTCTACTGAGAAATAATATAGTCTATTAGATACTTACTTGCGTTTTCATTGTTGCATTTTGAATGGTTTATTAATCCATTAATGTTTCACTGATAATCCTATAATTATGTGTATTTTCCTTCCCATACGTCACTGTGAGTTTTTGGCTGTTACAGAAGATTGTGAAGAGGAACTTGGGTTCAGTCATAAATTGTGGGACATAGCGGGGGGGGGGGGGGGGGGCAGTGCTAGGAAAAGGGGAGCAGAATGAAGTGCATCCAGATAGCAAGTATCAGCGATATATTCATGCCACACGTTCCTGCGACACCCTCACTGAGGGTATAATCACAGGGTTCAAACAGCCCGGCTCTCAACATAATCCCAGCCCTGTTCCAAAACACCACGCACACCACAACACTGAAGGCTTTTCTCAATGGGAATGTCTTCCCACAGCACCCCTGGTGAATGATCATCTCATCTGTTTGGTTAATTGTACAGCTGTAACTCGTACACCTGTAACCTCGTTTTGGTTGTTTTATCTACTGCCACTGATTGCACGTTTCTGTTTATTATCCAATTTCGGAACCTAGATCATTTTTAATTCTGCAAACTGAATTTAAACAAAATATACTAACCGATCGAGAATGTATGATAGACGTTTTGGGCACCACTAAAGACGAAAGGGAACAGCGGTTTTGAAACCGGCAGATAATGCTAGATTCCCTGCTGTTGACCTGATAGTACTTTTGCTGATACCATACATTATATATGAACATCATTAACTAAACTGATGAATTTAAAGTGCATTTGGTTGACAAGGCAGAGCGCCATTAGATTGATAGTACTGTACAATTTTATGTGGCAAGGCCTAGTTACCCTTGTGGTGATGGATTGTGGACCCTTGGGTGGCACCAGTCACATGGTAAGTGACGTTCATTCATCTGCAGACGAACAGAGGTTCTGATGATTCTACATCTATCGATGGATGTGTGAGGTCAGACAAGGAAAACGTATGATGCCCCAAAACTACCAACATAAATTTCAGAAGCAGAAAACTCAAAGCGAAAGGCTTCTCTTTACAGCATTAAGCAAAGGGTCTGGACCCGGAATCCACCTGCTTAAACCAAGCAGGTGCCAGCAGCCATAAATTCCTGGCATTCCCACTAAAACAGTATCCCGTACGCATTTCCCATTCTTTTACTCGCTGTCATTAATAGTTTTTTCATTTCCTTAAGTGCAGCATTTGATACACTAAGGGGAACCACCATTTACCTGATCATGTCCATTTCTCAGGAAAAAAACTTCCATTAGTCACTACATAAGACTCTCTGGGCAGGTTAATAAAGCAAGATTTAGTGATGATATTGACTGCGGGAGAATAACTCATGAGCTGTAGCAACAATGGCTTCTGAAAGATGTCAGTGATTAATGAGCTGAAACTGGAATTTAAGGGACAGACTGAAACTCCCCCATATATTCAGCATGTAGGAACGGCAGAATGATGCAGTCAAACGCAGCAGTGATTTGGTGAGCCGTCTCTCTCCGCCACGGAGGGGAGAAGGGAGCAATGGTGTTTTGAAACAGGGAAGAGCCTCCTTTCTGCCTCAGCCACAGAAACGACGTCCCCATGGCTGAAGCTGAAAGACCGGCTTCTGTGTTTAGTGGACCGGGGCGAACACAGAATGCGGAGGCTCACTCTATCCACACCGCTCCATCCCGCCAAGGTCGTTCAGGAACGCTCATCATTCCCCATCTTTAGAATAGTCTGAGAATTTCTTAAAAGAATCACAGTAACATAACAACCATCTTCGATGGTCGGGAACAAGCATAAAATTCACCGACGTGCTGTTTAGGGTCTTACAGCTCTGTCAACAAGGCCATGGACACAAAATCAATGCAGTTTTCTTTTCTGTGGCCCGTAAAAAAAAAAAAAATCACATTCATCAACACCGACATTTTAACCTTAAATGTCAAGATGGGCACCAAATTAGGAACTTTACTTTTCATGACATCTACTGTAAATGTTTATCCTGTGTTTTTTTTCTCTCTCACATTGTTGTTTCGGTGTATTTATCTATATTTCCCTGTCACTGTAAGCCACGGACCTAGGAATGCACGTTTTAATCTCTTTTATGCCACTCTGTTATAACATTATAGATTTGACCTACTACCTATAAAATTTTTTAGGCAAATCATTAAAAAAAAAAAAGTCTTATAAAAAAGAAGGGGAAAAAAACCATAAGATAATGCCACCCGAGGGTGGGTCCTTCACCATTTGCACTGAAACATGCAAGGGGGTGGGGGTTCTCAGTTCTGCCTACGCGGCCCCCGTCTAAAGCGGAGGATGCCTGTGGAGCACTTCCAGCAGACGCGATGGACCTGTCCCTGGAACGCCTGAAGACCTTTGGAAGCTCTGATGTGTCAGGGAGCCCAGAGAGAAGATTCGTTCCTGGCTATTTATTTTGTTTAATGCAGGATTTGTGTGGTTTCATTAAAGCAATTCGATCTCTTAAAATATACATTTAACTGTGCAAATGACAGCAGTTTATTGCATGTTGCATTTGGAAACAATGACTCAGAAACTAATTGTTTTGGTATCAATGTTATTCTTTGTTTCAAAATATCGTGTAAGGAATGTTTTTGAGGAAAGGAATGCAGGATTGTTCTCTTGAGCAGCTGCAGCACCAACGAGCTGCTTTGAAGCCTTTCGGTGCTGAGGCTCTGGCAGTGTGTGCCTGACTCCCTCCCTCATCTCTCGCCTGCGTCTGCATGTTACGCATCAGTCGGCCTGTTTTTTAAGGTATGTTTCTTTTTTTTTTTTTTATCAGGGCCGGCAATTTGCCTCACACCTCTTTCCACTGTCCAGAAAAGTTATGGTATTGATGAATTCCTACTATTTGAGTGACATTCAGCAGTCCCATCTACCGTCAAATTTATGTAGGAACACTGTAATTATCAGTGACATGTAGAGACACCAGTTAGCTCCAGTATTTCCTCATAAATGAAAAGGTAGGTTAAGGACTGGTCGCCATCCATCCATCCTTCCATTCTCTGTTCCACTTAACCAGTTAAGGGCTGTGGTTTGGTCAAAATGGTTAAATCATTTTTATGTGTCCCAGACTTCTTCGGCAATCTCCACTTACTGCCTTCATCAGAGCTTCCCAAGGCTCTCCCAGGAATTCCCAGTAGGACGCCTCTGACGCCTGTCAAATAAAAACCAAAGTCCGCCTTGTCTCCATTCCTGGCTTGGGGGCCATAATTCTCCTCAGTCCACTTCCGTGCCAGAAGACCCACGTGAAACACTGCGATTGCTGAGAAGACGCCTCCCTGGGCAGTTTCATTCTGTCGTGTTTAAGGACTCTCCGGTGATAGTCAGCTTCACCCCAGCACCCTGAACTCAGTCAGTAACTATACAAGGGCTTTATAAAAAAGCTAAACCTGAACAGCCATACAATGGCCAAACATAAACCATATCTCTACCATTTTTAATTTATTATTTTGTCTGCTTCCATAATTTTTTTTTCATTACTCTCGTTAGTCTGCACTGGAATCTTGGTAGCGTAAGTTTGGGATGGCAGAGGCGCGGAGAGGCTAGCCGCTGTCGGAGGACGTGTGAGGCGCCGTGGACGGCGAGCGGCGCCGGCGTGTGGGCGTCCATGAGCGCTCCGAGCCCAACGAGGCGGGTCGAAACCGGTGCGCAAAGCCGTCCAGGAAATCCCGCTGCTGCTGCGTTATGGCTTGAGAGAGCAGGCCGGGCAGAGCCTGCAGGCTGCCAGTGATGGAGTCCAGCTTGTCCTCCAGCATGCCGATGCGCTTGTCCAGCTCCTCACTGCGCTCCTGCAGCTCCGACACCAGGTCGTACATCACATTCTGAGTCTGCGGAGGAGACGGCATAGGCTACAGCACGTGGTGTGGCTTTGGGGGGAGGGGGGCTGGCACTGGATCTCACCCCCAGAAACAGAAATGAAAAAAAAAGTCTTGATGCAAAGTAGATGGTACATAAGGATGCAAAATAGCCAATGCATGAGGGCACGGGCGCATGAGGGCACGGGCGCATGAGGGCACGGGCGCATGAGGGCACGGGCGCATGAGGGCACGGGCGCATGAGGGCACGGGCGCATGAGGACGCAAAGTAGGCAGTGCATGAGGACATAGAAGAGATCACATGAAGACACAAAGTAGAGTGTGAGGACACTAACTTGACAGTGCATGAGCACACTAAGTGTACTGTGTAAGAGGAGATCATTGAACATACTCACCAACAAATCGTTAATTAATGCTCTGTGACTAAAAATGCAGGGTAATCCACTGGCTACTCCCTTCCAGTCACGGGACTGGCAGGTGAGTGAGTGCACTTGGTTGGTTCAGCAAGTAAATGTTATCCCATATACTGGCATATACAATATTTTATGTTCGCTTTCCTTTTTGTCTAAGGATGACATTTGATAGCAAAGGGATCCTACATGTAAAGCCATCTGGGAAAATTTTATCATGTTTAGTCTGTCAGACAGTACAAAAATCCCTGCCACTGAAATGTATCCACGCAGCGATCATCAAATTGTATTATTCAAACTGTACTGGTTCCTTGACTGACTGGGTCATGAACACAAGACACACAGGCAGAGTCCACTGGCATTTTAAGTACTGATCATAGCTCACAAAAAAAATTAAAATAATAATAATAAAAATATATATATATCTCAGTTGTTCATTTAATGTCCTTAAATGGTCCCTTAGCTTTGACCTAGTACACCGGCAATGAAGGGAAGCATTTACAGGTGACGAGATAAATATCACAGCATTACATATATTCCTATTGTTCTACCATCCAGGAAGCGTTGTGGCCTTTTGTTGGATTATCATTTCAAAATGAACAGGAACAGCAGCTCAAACCCATCAGAAAAAGACAAGAAGGTGAGTGACCAGCAATCAGCCAGGTATCTGTGTTCTAAGTAGGATGAAGTGGTTGCACAGAGGCTCTGTACGCACCTTTGCCAGGTCCACCAGCGTGTTAGCCTGGTCGTTCAGCTTCCTCTGCTCCATCTTCACGCTGCGCAGTCTGGGAGTGGGAGACAGGGGATAATGGGGGTTTGGAGAGCGGGCGGATTGGGGTTGAGAGGGAGGGAAGTTCAAGGAGGGAGAGCGAGAATCTGCAGTCAGCTGAGTGCTTGTTAGCCACTGACAACGTGTCCCACATGCAGACGTTCCCCCTCCAGACTGCCAGTCCACACATGCAAACAAAACTGGATTCAAGAGGCAAGAAAGTAAATCGATGTAGAATACAACCTATGGGAGCATTCAAACACCACACTGCTCTCTCCATCTGCTCCCACAAGCACGCTGGCTGGCAGGCTGGCAGAGTGTGGCACGGGCAGACTGAGCGAGCCCGCTCTGCGCACCGCGCGCCGCACTCGGGGTGAGGGCAGGGGTGGTGCAGTGATGGAGGCACAGGTGAGGGCACACTGGTGGGCATGTGGGCATGGCAACGTTGCAGGTGAGTATGGGTGGGATGGAACCTGGGCACCTGCCTCACAAACGAAACCCAAAAGTAAATGTTTTATGCCGAACTGGGACTGCCGTACAAAAGACCCAGGCTCAAATCCCAAAAGACCGGCTCAAATCCCAAAGGACTTGGCTCTCCACAAAAAAATCATGAAGTTTTTACCCAAAACAAATTTATTTTTCCAACCACCTTACAATGTATCCAGTACAGGGTCACCGGACATACTCATTTTTGTAGCATTTATTACTCAGTATAATGAGTACCACAGTAAGTTTCATATTAGAGATGAAAAAGTATGAAAATTTAGTATCATGGTCAAATTATCCAAAATTATCAAGGTTATCAATATTATCACAATATTGTAAAAAGTAGATGCATATGTTCAGAAAGTACTGGTACACAAACTGAAATAAGTTTTATACTGAAAACCGTAAATAAAATTAGCAACATTACGCACTTTTTGTTTGTATGAACATTAAAATAATTAGAGCCTTAGGTAAACACATGAAAACCGTATAAAATGTGCATTAACATTGAAAATCACTGGAGCGCTGTCACTGCTAATGGTCACTGCTAATGGTCACTGCTAATGGTCACTGCATTCCGGCATTTTTCACTGACCCGTGTAACATCCCATGCCTGCACACCTGCATCTGGGAGACTTGCTAACTTTGGTTGATGCTGGACAGTTTTCAGCATGAGTTTTTCAAAGCGCGGTAATCAGCCACAGTTTTAATCATAATTAAAATCTGAAAAGGTAATACTAACCACCTGGAATTTCATCATTGTTTACCGTGAAACTGATAACCGTTTCATCCCAATTTCGTATTAAGGTCTGTAGACTGACTTTAAATTGTTCACAATGCAGCTTTCCACACTTTCAAGTGATGTGAAATTTTAGAAAAATATTAATGTTAAAAGTTGGACCAAGGAAAAGGAGCTGAGCCAGTTGACATATTCCCCTAATACCAATTTCATGCAGAATTTTCAGTATCGTTAAAGAACTGAACAATAGTGTATAATAGTGTGAGATACCTAGATAAAAAAAAGTGAAGCAGCAGAAATTTTACAATGACATTGTTCAGATGTGTAAGATCTTAGCTTAAACAAAAAAAAAAGCTATATTTAAAAAATAAAATAAAAATAAAAACCTGAAGCGTGATTCATCACCACTTTGGAAAATCGTCTGGCCCCACTAGACATTATTCTGTAATTTACGGCAGGATACATTAACAAGTTCACAGTCACTGGAGGTTCCATTTCATGGATTTATGTTGCTTAATGTGCCAAAACGGCACCTGAATTCACCCAGGATCAAAAAGTGATACATTAAGAATAAATCAAGTTTCATAAAACAAACCCCTTGAATGTCAGATGATCTTAGGGGATCATTACATTTTCAATGGCAGTGTAATAAAAACTGATTTATGCTTTCTTGGGGTCTAATTCCCACACATTTTAGCTACCATTAAACAAGCAGTGGACAAATTAAAGCTGAAATGACTTTCAATAGCTACACTGCATTGATACAGTTACTTTTCAGCAAAGACAAAGCTACTGGGATGATACATACTGTAGCACTCACAGTAGTTAATATGCATCTGCTGGGATGTACAGGGGCTTCCCTTCTGCAGCCAGATGAAATAAAGAAAAAATGACCAGTATAGAACTGGCAGAGCTGAACGTTGGGAGAGAGTTTCCTAGGTGATGATTAACATAGAATCAGTCATGTTTTGCATTGACCTAGTTCTGAAGAATACTGAACCAAGCATATACTAACTGCGAAGAACAAGCACGAACAGGCAAGCTATGTTTTTATTATTATTATTATTGTTATTATTATTATTATTATTATTATTATTATTATTATTATTATCTTTTTTTTTTTTCCTGACGGAAGGCTAATTATTCATGAAGCCCAAAAAGTGGAACACCTTGGAGCCAGTCTGGCAAAATGTGGAGCATTGTTCAGTGAGGGTGAATTTATCTTATAGAGCATCAGGTCAAGACCTCTAGATTTTATCTATTAGCACTGTGCTCAGTGTTACAAATAGCTAAAAGCCTAAATGGGACGACCTCGCCATATTGTGAAAAAACGCAGGTGGTGCCTTAGCAGACATCATTAAGCAGTGCTAGCTGTCCTGGAGAACGGGCCTCCCTTTGCCAGACACCGAAACGTGAAGAAGTCGTCACTGCCAATAACCCGCAGCTAAAGAGCGTGCTAAAGTACAGCGGCTCGTGAGGAGCTGCAGTCAGGACACCATGATGGAGATTAACAGGGAAAGGAGAGGAGATACACATTAACTGGACATCCACAAGTATCCTAGGTGCATGTGCTGCTACTAACGTACTAACATACGGCTGACGACTTCTTATACAACCCATTAACTGTTATTTAAATGTTTCACCAAAAGAATTCCGAAGACAGCAATTCTCCCCCAAAAAAAGGCTGATTAGCAAAAGACAGATGTGTGAATCCCTTTGTGAAAATCAAATGGCATGTAATACACCCTAAATAAGACAAAAGCACAGTGACCTGCAGGCCAGTAGCTTTGTGCAGAATTGTCTGTGTAATGCATGGTTCCTATCTTTGATTTCCCATACTTAGGGTACCTACTGTACAATCTTAAGTCTGTCACTCAAGATCTCTTGACTCAGAGATGGTCAGAGATGGAACACCAGAGCTAAGCTGAGCTACTTCAGAGCCTGCCTACCTCCAAAAGTGTGGTTCGTAATATCGCACATTCACCTCCCGTCACCACATGGCCAGAAACCATTAAATGGAAGCCCCGTACCCCCCCCCCCCCCTCACCAAGGGTCTGTTAGCAAAAAGCAAGTCATTCCTGCCGTTAAAAGGTGGTAGTGGGGCAGAGTTAAAAAAAAAGAACGATAATCCCTGTTAATAAAGGAAAAATAACATTTATATGTATTTATACAAAAATGAAAGAATAACATTCCTGAAAGTCACCAGCATCAGAAACAGCAACTTGAGAAGAAAACTTGAAAGATGGCTGCGTGGCGTAGGAGTAAAGCCAGGTACAAACTCGGAGCAACTAAGAGCACATGATTCCACTGAAGATAAATAATAAAATCAAATCAATCAGAAATGAGAAACTCAGGGGAAAAAAACACAATGCAAAGGGCACCATTTACTGGAAACGGTGCCAGGCATGGACAGACATGCAGGTAGTCCAGAGCAGCCCCGCATGGCTAAGGGCGGAGTGGGTCCACCTTCACTGGAGTGTGGCGCAGTGCCAGAGCGATCGAGAGAGAGCAGATTTCTCCCCACCCAAGACATAAGCAGTTACATGCAGCAGGCTGCTGGCAGTACTCTGCCCTCTGGTTTATTGGATAATGTTAACAAGAGTTTTGAAATGCAAATATATCAGGCAAGCAAACCCCCCCAATGTTCCCCTGGTTTGCCATTTCGCCCTGCATGCTGCATGATACAGGACCCCCCCCCCCGCCCCTCTCCTTGCCCCAGCCCTCCTGTCACTTGCTCCGCAGCTGTACTTTTCACAATGAGCTCCCAAACCTCCTCGCGGAGTTTGGGAGGGCCTGACCTAGTCAGCGTCTCGCTTGAGCCAGACCTCCATAGCGTCGTGCACATGAGTGCGGCCTCGCACACGTCCACGACGACCACCTGTGCCACACCGATGCCCAAAAAGCCATAGGCTCGCATTTACTTACATTTATAAGGATTTTTATACGGCTCCATTAAATTCCAGTCCAAATGCACTAAAGCTAAATTAATATGTTCAGCAGAAACATTTTGACTGTAGGAATAAAATGAAGTGGAATAGCTGTAAGGGCCCCCCACAATAGGGGGGGGCTCAATAAGGACAAAGGGATATTATACATCAGCAAAAATGGCCCTTCGACAGCATTATCAAGTGTGTTCACGTTTTACATGGATGACTGAAGGCATCTGTGCATCAGTCCAGTACGAATGGCAATTTAATAAATGCACAGACCTTCCTCGAGTTGTGAACCAGATTTTCAGGCTTCCAGGGCTGGGGGAAGAACTAGTGCTTCCTGGTATGGAGATCTGGAGAAGCTTGTTGATGAATGGATTCTGGGAGCAAGCTGACTCATTTGAAGCTTAAGAGATGCTGTTTCGTTTATTTCGCTCAGGCACCCGACTATCACCACGTGAGCACTGCTGCGGTTTTGTCATTCCATTCGGAGAATGGAATTAATAAAGGTAGAAGGACAGACTCTCAATCCAATCAGCATCCAGCTTCAAACCTCATGCAAATTAATCATATCCGGGTCACACTGACAAGAGAGAGAGTGAGAGAGAGAGAGAGAGAGAGGGAAGGAGAGGGGTAACAGAAGACGCAACTTACTTCTGAGCTCTGCAGTGAATAAGCAAAACAAAGACAGAACACAGTACAAGTTTAAGAACCCACAACTTGGACAAAACAGGTTAAGTGTTACACTTTTTACTACACAGGTGAAGACCGGAAAGGATTAATTGCCTTTTTTAAGAACTGGGATTTGGATGCAGACCACGTCAAACACTTCAACAAGAAGTCAACATTTCGCCGCTGGAAAAGAGGAGCACGTTTGGGTCTCCTAGTAATGTTCTAAGCAATTTCTCCCTTTTGTCCCTATAGCAGCCATATAATAGGCTACCTGTGCAGTTGCTGATTTTTCTGCCTTACGAATATTGCAGCATTTCACATTCTTGTGGGGAAAAAAAACATTATTTTATGTTACTCACAACCGCACAGACAAGAAAACAGAAATAAGCCCATAAATTGCACTGAGGTAAACAGGTGTCAGAAACGCATAAACTGCAGGTAACAGAAATTACATATACTGGTGGAACTTAATGGGATTTAAAAAACAGACAACCCACCCTGTAAGTTAACAATCAGCATTCTGTTTACATTTGACAGTAATTTTAGAGAGTTATTTTGTGTTCTGTAGAATATTAAAAGTTTATTTCTGTTTAAACAGGAATTTGAATTCAAGAAATGTTATCCTAATAACTGGCAATATTGTCAATGTTGAATCAATATTAATACCATGAGTATAACAGTATAAGTATTAAAGTGTGAGTATAACAGTATAAGTATTAAAGTGTGAGCATAACAGTATAATATAACAGTATGAGTATAAGAGTGTAGTATAATAATTTGACAGGCTGTCAGAAATCCAGATGGGCAGTTGAGCAGTCAAGCATGTCTCCCAGCACACTGTACTTACTGGTGAATTGCCTGCAGAAACTTGCGCTGGTGTTTGCGCACCTTGGCATGGTCAATCTTCTTCACCAGCTTGGTGTGTTTGTAGATTAGCCATGTTTCCCTGAGTACATTAGCAGCCGTGTTTTTGACCTGAGTCACAGCACAGAAACAGACATTTGCACTGAGCACAGACTGAACTTGCAGCCAAACCCTTCTTGGGAAACAGGAACATATCATATTCACAATTTCAAAATGTCCTTTTTATGTACTGACAACTTGAGTATTTTTATGTATAGTTCTTAAAGAGAAATATATTTCATACTGTTTTATGGCTGTGGGTATAACTGTTTATATGTAAACAGTATTCATTCATGTTTTCATTGATTTTACAGTTTCCACACAATTTTTTTTCAATGATATAAAATCCTATGACTGTAGTCCTCAAACTACACAAAGCAATACACGTATATGTAGTGAGAGATGTTTTATGAGTGAAAGCCTTTCATGCTAAGGTTTACTTACGCGTTTACAGAGCTGTGTGTCCATCATGAAGTTATGGACGTGTTTCTCGGCCTTGGTCAGCTCCAGCTTTCGGGCCACCACAGCGACCACCAAGGCAGTACAGCCCGCCCCCTGGGAGAAACACGAGGCAGACGGTGACACTGCCAGTACACAGCAGGCCTCGGCCACGCGGCTCCATGGTGTGCATGTACGGCTTCTCGTCCGGCGCTATCTGAAGCCTTCACATATTACGCTAAAGTTTACCGCCTGGGTTTCTACAGCAGCCAGCACCAAACAGCTAATGCTGAACTGGCCAGATATGGTGGAAGACGCCCAGTCGTGAGCGTCAGGTGTCCAGGTCTGCAATACAACAGTCAGCAGGATCTACACATTCTATTATTATTATTGATTTTGTGGTTTTTCTATGTCCCATCATTTCATTTATTCTATTGCTCATTATTATCTGGATCTAGCTGACGACCTTATTTAGCAAACATGATATCCTTCCACTTTTTATGTTACAGTAAGGTTACAGCAGTGTACCTATGTAGACTGTAACCTTGCCGCAGTATACCAACATCAGCATAACTGCACATTAAGGCACCTTCTGCAACCATTTTGTAGTGTAAATATATATAGATATTTCATACAGCGATCAAAACTTAACTATAGTGATCAAAACCTAATCATAACCAAACTGTATAGAAGAAAATAATATAATACTTTGTAAATAAACACTAAACTGTTAGGTTTATCCCTGGATTATTACTAAGTTTGTCTCTTCTGAGCTTGTGGGCATGATCTACAGCCTTTCCCCCTTTAAGCTGCTCTCTGTGTCACATACTGCACGCCATCTGGGTGCGTCTTCTCAATTATTAATGTGCCTTCATCTGATTTAACAGAAGGAGATGATACTCTACAACAAGCTGTACAGATCACTTTACACCTACAAACATCTAGAAACATCTTTTTTCCATTGATCCAGGGCCAAATTCAAGTATCAAGGGGTTCAGAGCTGAAAGCGTACAGTGGAACACGAGAATTAAAAGAAACAAAAAACAACATTCAAGGCGTCTTGTGTTTGGCAAACTCATGGAAGGATCACACTTGCTGACATCATATGTGGATAAACAGCAAATTTAATGAAAACTTAACGTAAGATACATGTCCGTCCACAGAAGTATTAAATAACTAATTGTTGCAATATACCAGCTGGGTTGCCAAAACTAGTCCAAAATTAGGTTTGTTGTATTATTTCTGCATGACAGCCACTGCACATAATACAGTGCACTTGCGCAGTATCTGTAACACCTGGCATTAGATTTCCTTTCTGGCTGGAAATGCTACTGACAACAGAAGCATGATAAATGACAATATATATATATATATATATATTTCTGGGAAATGGTAGTAAGTCTTTCTAGACAGACCTACACATGCATTTAAGAATAAATCTATTCTGTTTGTTTTTCAAGCTTTTATGTTACATTTAACGAGAAATTAAAGCATATAAATATGATAACTGCATCCTCAGTTTTTACCGTCATCTGCTGCCTTAACCAGCTCTGTGTCTCATGTGTGGTGGCAGTAGCTGACAGTTTGATAGCAGGACGCATTTCACCATAAACCCAGATCACAATTTTTTAATAGCCGACTCATGGTCAGCTGAGGATTTGAAATCATAAAGTTGTGGGAGACCCTCTGTTTAATCTCGGTATTACAGTATAAGAACGTGATTATGAAGTCACAGGAACAGGCCCTACTGTAAACACGTTCATATTTAAGAATAAAGTTTTATCTATAAAGCTGTTTAAAGGTGACTGTGGCATTAAGAAGACATTTTCAAAATGTTTCAATGTTCAATATTTTTCCATTTCTGTGACACTCAGGGGTGAGAGAGGAACGTACCATGATTCCAGTCAGCAGACACACACCCTTCCCGCAGTATGTGTGAGGCACCATGTCTCCGTATCCAATTGACAGGAAGGTTATAGAAATTAGCCACATGGCTCCTAGGAAGTTACTGGTCACTTCCTGTTTGTCATGATACCTGAAGCAGTGAAACAGAAAAGAACAAGGCGAAGCCCAGTAAGAGGAGCAGAATATAAATGGCAGGTTGGAGGATGGCCTCAAAGCCAGGCCGCGACCGGCGCGGTGGTGGAACCTGCACTGTTACTGGGTTTAGTGTAAGGATTCAGAAAAGCTTTAGTGAGAAACCTCCCATATTCATACGAGATCGTTTGGAATCACATGTGAAGAGTCCAACGTATAAAAAATGAGTAAATGCAAATAAATACAGAAAAGGCTAATGGAGGAAGAGAGAGAATATGTTTTAAAATTTTACCTCAGGAACCTATCAAAATGGCGTATATTTAAACAATAAATATTTTGGATATTTAAAATAAACTGATGAGTATGAATTGTATCCTCAAACACACTCACTCATATGCCTGAAATATGAACCTTCAAACAGTCGATATGTGAAACAGTGTTTGATTTTCTCTTAGGATAATTGTGCTTTCCAGTTAATGGCTTTGCTTGTAGTTGTACAGAAGCCAAAGTACATTAGTGACTTTTCCTCTCTGAAGTAAGATTTAATTTGAAATCTCTAGCTGGACGTGGAACAATTCGGTGTTGTTAAGTTAATTGCGGAGACTTATTAATTCTGCAGTTTAATAACCGGTCCCTTAAACCTGTGATTCCCTATTCAGATCATGGCACAATGTGCACACACCATTTTTGTTCCAGCTTTCTATAAATTAGGCTTGATTAAGCTGTTAATTGAATGAATCACATAATTAACATCACGTTAAAACAAACTGATTTGTCAAGGGCAAACTATAAACCATTTCTTAGTTGTAGACACCTACAATTGTGAAAAGCTACAAGAGACGCCTTTTTCCCCTCACAAAATGAGAAATGCATCATATGTTCTTTATTTTCAATAATCAGAAAAAGCTGGCAATAATTACTTGAACTCATTTTAAACTTTGAATAATTAAACCAAAATATGCTGAAGATTGATGGTTCTATTCTGTTTGGCAAACTGTTAAAGATTAAACTTATTGCATTAGTTCAAACACAATTTGCTAAAACTCGTAAAAGGCCACTACTTAAAGCAAATCCTCAGTCAATGTGTCCATAGTGATTTAATTCGTAATTCATTCATTCAAAAGTTTAATCAAGATCCTTTACCACATTAAAACATAACATTTGGTGTAAATTTAGCTAAGTAGTCTTGACAGCTTTGGTCAATCACATTTCTAAGAATCAGAAATTCTAATAAATGGAGAAGTAAATAAAGCAAATGAGAAAGAAACATTAACTACGTTCCATGGAAATTTGCAGAGATTTCATGCATAAAAATATAATCAGATTATCATGTAAAAGTTTACAACCATTCTAACTTCATTTAAAAATACCCAAAGCAGTCAGCATTACCACAGGAAGGGTCACCACTGCTTTAATTATGAAGAGATGGCCGCACCAAAACTGCAACACGCCGAGTGATGGACCCTATCAAAATTAATACACTGCATTAATCCATATCATCAGCATCTGCACAAAATGTGAGCTGACACAGCTTTCTTTGCAAAAGCTCATCCGTAATTAGCTACCTATGTGGCAGGGAGAGGACAATTAACCCAATAACTCAGCCTCAATCAGGCAGATAACCATTAAAAGAAAATGACTGAAGGTGACCATGTATCAATGAACAAAAACCTACCTTAGCTCAGACCCATCACACCATCATTATCTCTCTGGTTAACAAAGGACAGCTGTCTTGCTCTCTCTAGAATCCCATAATCATTCTATACTTCCTTCAATTAGCTGCTGTTCTGTAACAGAAAATATCTATTCTTTGTAGTATCCTGTGAGAATTTCGAACTGCTGCTATTGTCAGTTTTGGCTTTCCATTCTTATCTCACGTATATGGTGGAGAAAACTGGGCACGAAATTTTAATTAGACTTAATCACTTAAAAATTTCACACTGCACTATTAGCAACAATTCTCTTTCACATAAAGGAAATGAAAAGAAAACAAAAGATATGCCAAGTCATTCTAGAATTTTCACTGAAATGAGGTGGCCAGCTCTCTAAAAAAACAGTGTTCTACCTAAAACAATTTGAGGTTGTAAGATTAAATAAAATGCGTCTAACAGAAGTATGGCAGTATGCTTCATTAACAATATGAAAGAATCTTACCAATAAATAGTATATTTATACTGTCGTACAGAATAACAGCGAATTGACTGCATATTTTTGAGTTGAATGATTTGCCTGTTGCTTTTTTCCCCCAAGTAAAGAGCAGCATGGGCTTAGATTTCTGAAAGCTTTCTGTAGAGAGTTTATACTGTGGTAACAATGAAACATCTGCATGAGTAGTTTGTAAGCTGAACCTTAAATTCAACACTTTCTGTTTCGCAAACAGTTCTCGTCGAAGGACACTGCCATTAAGGAACAGAAACGGTTGCAGATTTCCATTTGGAGTTTGACAGCACCTTTTTGGGCAGATAAAGAACCACCTTACACTGCAGTGTGATGGCTTACTTTTAAACACACACAGACAGACCTCTCAGTGACTGACCTCACCTCTAAATTAAAGTGCCTTGACCACACATTTGAAAATCAACCAGAAAAAGGATCCCTGAAGTACATCATGTGGTTTTTCGAGGTTGGCTTCTGATCCATAACACTTGAAGATCTCCATTCAAAGAGTACAACTCTAAACAGTATCTCATATTGGCTTGGAAACCCCTGGCTGGCTCTATGGTCACGCTCTTTCATATACTTTCATATTCATGCCCAGACCCAAAAAAGACCTTTTTGTGAATTTTTGGGAACTGGCACAACGCATTTTCTCATGCAAAAAGTAATATATAATAATCATGCTGGTCATTTAAAGATTTTCACATCCTGCATGCTGATAAATAGTACAGTATATTGAGAGCAAAATGAATAAAATGGACCCACCCATTTACATTGAATACTAAGAGGTCTCTCATCTAATTTGGTCATGAGAAGCCTGTGTCCGCGATACTTCAGCATGCATGCCAATGACTAAGCTTAAAAGTCTGTATGAATAGGTCCCTGCAAAAATAAAATTAATTTAAAAAAAAAAAAAACAGAAAACTAGTAGTAAATCATTACCCTCCCAAGGATTCTTGAATGGTGGAAATGAAGAACTGTTATTAAGGTTAGTCATGGGTTTAATCATATGTATGTCTTTAGAAATAACTGTTGTAATTCGAATTTTAACTTCTCTAAGTGTTTTTTATCAATGCTTTGAAGCTTTTTTCACTCGCTAGATGGACATCAGACTGCTTCTGTCACAGCAGGAGAGTTGGTGCAGTTGGCAGGATCTTAGAAGTATGTCTCATGCAGCGCTGCAGCGGTCGATGCCTTAGAAAAGTCACACAGGAGAGATCGATGACCTAGAACTTCACTTCTACACAACACTGGTCACAAGGAAAAGTAGCTATGTCTAAGCTGGTCTTCAGATGAACTGGACACGAGACTGAAGAGCTTTGTAGCATATTCAAAATGCCTGCCCCATTGTCATATTCAATGTGGCGTTTAGGCAGATCAAACAGCTAACAGCCTGGTTACAGGCTGATTGAGATGAGTTTAACATTTGGACTATCAATAAATACCACAAATATATTTGAGTAGAACTATGTCCTTAAGGGAATCCGAGTTTTCATCATCAGAAGCCTGTGTTATTCTGTCCTCTCCATGTTCCTCAGTTGACCCTAGCAGACTCTCCCTGAAAAAATATGCAGAAATTAGCATCAAAATGAGAAGTAACATCTGACTAGAGCAAAAATGTCTCTTTGGTCTTGGCAGAACTTTCTGTTATACGGTTAATGATCTGCTGGATCATAAGTTTCACTCAATCAGCTCCTTTCATTAGCATCTTTACGTTTGAGATGCTTCAACGGTTCCAGCAAAACATTAGAGAGCTTCATAGCTCTTGTAATTCATGCAAACAAGGAATCTCCATTATGTGCCCTTGTTTTCAAGTCATGTTATTGCCAATAACTCATGAGCTGGAGCAAACCAGCCATCACAGAATTTTCTGAGCAACAATAAGTTTTGTGTGTAGCATGTGCACATGAATGACTTTTATTTACAGTATTTTATGAAGAACCAAAGAGAATAAACAGAAATTCAAGAAACTGAGCAACGACTTCATAAATATTCTCTTAGATTTAGCCATTGGGGTAACCTCTTACTAGCTTAGAGGTACTTATAGAGTATGCAGATTGCTAAAACTGAAAATCACTGCATATCTCTGGAGTTCAGATGTAAATCTCAGAAGCTTATGGTGTTTACTAATATCACAATGTTAATTGCTAGTGGTAATTCGTGTCTGATGTGCATGGTGATTGCTTTGTAGGCTCTCAATATACTGTGCACTGGCATGGAATGGAACAGAGCTGGCACCACCGTAACATCAGAACAAGACTAGGGCATCCGTCTGGCAAAAAGCTGCCCAAGTTCTACGCCTGCTCCCAATTCAATATCTTCTTTTTTTTTTTTTTTTTTTGCAGAAATCGTGCCCGGTTTTGTGTCCGTCGAGATCGGTTTTTAAAGGTCTCCCTGACTGTTGTTGTTGTGCTCCCAATTTCTACGTCTCTATCTGCAGAAGACACCAAGACGACAGTACAATGCCCAGATGACCCAATTAATTAGCCCCCAGAGTGCACCATGTGGGAATAATCCCTGTTCTAAAGCACTACGACAAGATCACGGCATGTTCTCCTTTACAAGAAAATAATATTTTCAAAAAGACTTTCCAGAGGAAATGCACAATACAGATGGGTTAAACATGTTCATTTGTCCATCTAAACTCAAATGTAACTAGTAACATATTGAACATACTGGAGTTCCAGAAAATAATTAAGCATCCAAGAATACACATATCCATACGGAGTCGACAAAGCCAGCTCTCTTACCAGCCTTTCTTCTCCGTAAGCGTCTGTGGGTAACTGCAAACTGCGCTGCTGCAGTTTGGCCTTCCGGCTGTCAGCGACACCCAGAGAACCAGAACGCACAGCAGTAAGCAGCTGTCAGGCAACATCGCCGTTACTTGACTAGATATTCACAATCCTACTGTAAAATGAAATTCATTAGTACTTCAGAAATAAAATAGAGGCTTTTCTGAGACTGAATGGTGGAAGAAAACATTGACGATTCCACAATAGCGTAAGCTATGGCCCTTGGTAATCAAATTTGACTTTTAAATTTTCTGAGAGCAACTTCAGGCTATTCAGCTAAATTGATGTCCACTAGACATGATAATAATGCTACATACATCATTATTATGGGCTGAGATGCAGCATGCAAATAAGCTTGCTGGTACTGGAAGAGCACACATATGATATGATAGGTAGTTAAATGAAGTTATTATTTCCAGAACAGCAGCAGGATCATACTGGTTGGCCCAATACAAACATTTGTTTAATATATTTGCCCCTTAAAAACATCTAGCGTACATTTTTGTCATCATCATCATCGTAACATCAACAACCTCGATATGTCACTGAAAAGAGATGTGTGGTCTGCCCATACACACCCGTTACCTAGCATGTCTTACACTGAGCGCCACAGAACGCCTCACAACAGACTTGGCTCTGATAGGTGCAGCTTGCACGTCTGTGGAGCCCCCACATACTCATATAAATACTGACAAGCATTAAGGCTGCCTATCTATGCTCATACTAACCAGCAAAGAATAAAGTACGCAATTATGATCACATTACCAGTGATGTGTAATGCAAAAGCCCCAGCAATAACAATGCACACTATGTAAATTTATTACATTATCGGTCAATAAAAAATTAAATGAATATTGGTATATTAAGTGTCTTTCCTCCAACTAACAGCAGTGGGATTCCTTGGAGCCACCTATATACAGTACAAAAGACCTGGAGCACTGTTTCTGCTACAATAATATGACAGAGTTGTGATTATATTTAAAACCACAGAAATTCTAACTTTCTAATGCAGGTATCTGTCTACCAATCAGCATTCTGCTGCTGAATAAGCCAATCCCTGTAATTTTTATTATTATTTCACACACATCTTTTCTATCCAGTATCCACCATGGTACAGGGTTGCTGAAATCCATTCAGCTCTTACATTAAAATACATTTTAAAACAGGGCAGAAGTGTTGGGAGTGTATTGTCTTTCAAATCTTTACCACCTATATGTGCTACACTGCAAGTACACTGTGTCATGTGTCCATTTGCCCTTCTGAGACCAGCAACAGCAAACTTAACGCTAAAAAACAAAGCATGGAAACTAACAAAACAGTCAACACATTAAGCACCAACACAGGAGACAAAGTGAGACAAACATTGATATAAGCTACAACGACAGCTTTTAATTTACACTCGATGGATATTGACGAATTAATAACTCTACAAAAATGAATCTTTGAATCAACCTAAGGAAGTGGGACGGTGTAGTTTAGGCCAAAGCTTTTCTGAAGGTGATGCTAATGCTGTCAACTGAGGTTTCTCTAGTGTTTAATGGTTAAAAACCATTGGAAGCAGTCTGTGTGGACTGTGATATGTCTCTCTAGGTACTAGACTTTCTCACAGTGGGAAAGACAACAAGGGAAGGCAAGATTGGCATGGAAACGTGCAGCGGTTAGAGGGGGAGAGTAGCAGGTCTACATGGGCTGTGAGACAGGAGGACATGTGCAAATAAAGGTTAGCTGAAGCTGTGGCCTCACTGCCAGAACACCCCCCCCCCACTCACTCCCAGAACCCCCC